TTTAACAAGTTCCCTGGATAATTCTTATGTAGATGGCCTAGGGTACACATTTTTATAGAAATAGTTTTAACTTGTTCCAGCAGCCCCGTGTTAGCTGTTCTTTAGTTTTCAGAGTTCCTAGAGAAGGAAGTCAGTTGGACCAGACTGGGTGAGACACCTTTCCTCTTTCCTATCAGATGACAGCTGCTGCAAACACTGAGTGAGACTAGGGAAGAAAAGCAGTTCCCAGGAACCTTGCTGTCTCCTCTTTGGTATCTTGTGCCTGTTACAGGCGCCTGTAGCCTGTTCTGTCACCTCCTGCACTAGTAATCCAGGAAGACTGCCTGCTTCTAGTCAACAGCTTCTCCCCAAAACTACCTCGTACCATACTTTGGACAAAGGAGATATGCAAACATCTGTTTCTTTTAAGGTTTTAACTATGTTTTAAAGTTATGTATGTACATAGTTAGACAGTACTAAAAGAAATGCAATCAAAACTAAGTCTTCTTCCTGGTCCTGATTGCTAGGCACCTGTCCCTCTTAAAGGAACCCTAGCCCCTTTGTGTCGTAATGAAGATATGTCTGTAGAGACAGGCACACTTGGAACTTTTTATCCCCACATACAGTTCTATACATGGTACTTTTTCATTTTACAGTAACATAGTAATCATTCCATATCAGTCATTCCATAAATATGTTGAATATTGAAATAATATTTACTCATAAAAACCCTGGTAGATTAAATAGGGAAAGGTTAGCTATTCTAATATATCTTGAAATAAGTATATTAGGGAATGGATTGATAAAAGGACTTTTTGCCTAAAAGGTAGGACCAGAAAGCAAGTCTTCTGGCTCTTACCCCAGTGTGTTTTGCTCTAAGTTGTATAGTTAAATTATTTTAAATAGCCATTTATCTATGTGGTGGGGGCTAAGAACAGTGTCTTCTCTTGTTTGTAAAAAGATACATAAGAAGTCCTGATCAGAACTGGAGTAGAGGGCACCCTCCAGTCATATCTGGGGAGTTTGGGCCTTTATGCTACCATAGTGTACTTTAAAGATTCTCTGATGTCAATACCTTTTGCCACCAACTGCAAAAGTAAATCAGGAAGACTTCTAACTACACTTTGTTCAAGTTTATTAAAAATGTCACAGAGAGCCGGGCTCGGTGGCTCAGCCTGTAATCTCGCGCTTTGGGAGGCTGAGGTGAGTGGATTGCCTGAGCCCGCGGGTTCGAGACCTGCCTGGGAAGTGAGACCTCATCTCTACAATAAATCAAAAAATCAGCTGGGCGTGGTAGCGCATGCCTGTAATTCCGGCTACTCGGAAGGCTGAGGTGGAAGGATCGCC